ATTAAAAAAAAATTTTTTTTTTTTGGGGTTTTTTTAAAATTTTTTTTTTTTTTTTGGTTTTTTTTTTTTTTTTTTTTTTTTTGGGGGGAATTTTTTTTCCTGGATGAGGCAGGTTGACAAATAGGCAGCAGAGAGTCCATAAATGGGGAGAATCAAGTGGGGAAGTGTCACGAGCGTGTTCCACAGGGGTCAGTGTTGGCCCCTGCTGTCACAATTACTTTAACGATAGATGAGGCATAAAGCGACATCGGCAAGTTTGCCGTGACACAAATAGGCCGTCAATTCTTTTCTGACGGACATTCGACACCAGGAGATTTGATAGACTGATGCAGTGGTCGAGAAGTGCAGATGCAGTTAATATAGACAAATGCAAAGTTCTAAATGTTGGACAGGACAATAACCATGCCACATATAAACTAAATAATGTGATCTTAATATTACGGATTGCGAAAAAGATTTGGGAAAGTTCTGGTTAGGCAGTAATCTGAAACCAAGAACAACAGTGAAATAAGTGTTCGCAATAAAGCTAATAGAATCCTTGGCTTCATATCAAGAAGCATAAATAATAGGAGTCCTCAGGTTGTTCTTCAACTCAACATCCTTGGTTTGGGCCCTCATTTAGATTATGCTTACAGTTTTGGTCACCTTATTACAGAATGGATATAAATTCTCTGGAAAATGTACAAAGGAGGATGACAAAGTGATCCCATGTATCAGAAACCTTCCCTATGAGGATAGACTAAGGGCCCTGAATCTGCACCTTCTAAAAAGACGTAGAATTAGGGGGGATATGATTGAGGTGTATAAATGGAAGACAGGAATAAATAAAGGGGAATGTAAATAGTGGGGGGGGGCTGAAAATATCTAGCCTAGACAGGACTCGCAGCAAGGGTTTTAAGTTGGAAAAATTCAGATTCAGGAAGGATATAGGAAAGTACTGGTTTGGTAATAGAGTTGTGGTGAGTGGAACAAACTCCCAAGTACCGTTATAGAGGCCAGAACGTTGTGTAGCTTTAAAAAATAGGTTGGATAAATCATGAGTGATGTGGGTGGGTGTGAGTTAGAACCTGATAGCTTGGCTACCAGGTCGTTGCCGTGTTCCTTCCTTAAGTCAATGTGACCTGACCTGACTAGGTTGGGTGCATTGGCTTAAGCCGGTAGGAGACTTGGACCCTGCCTCGCAGGGGCCCAGTAGGCCTTCTGCAGTGTTCCTTCGTTCTTATGTTCTTATGAAACAGCACTGGTCCTAGGACTGACCCCTGTGTGGGTGTGTTTGTGTGTGTGGGGTGTACTAAACCTATTTGTACTCACCTATTTGTGGTTGCAGGGGTTCGATTCATAGCTCCGGGACCCACCTCTTCACTGATTGCTACTAGGTCCTCTCTCTCCCTGCTCCATGAGCTTTATCATACCTCGCCTTAAAACTATGTATGTTCCCGCCTCCACTACTTCACTTTCTAGGCTATTCCCACGGCTGACTACTCTATGACTGAAGAAATATTCCTAACATCCCTTTTGATTCATCTGAGTCTTCAACTTCCAATTGTGACCTTTTGTGTCTGTGTCCCCTCTCTGGAACATCCCGTCTTTGTCCACCTCGTCTATTCCGCGCAGTATTTTATATGTCGTTATCAGTCTCCCCTGACCCTAGTGGCCTCCAGTGCCCCGTCAGCCGATTTCCCTCAACCTTTCTTCGTAGGACAATCCCCGTAGCTCTGGGACTTAGTCTTGTTGCAAACCTTTGCACTTTCTCTAATTTCTTGACGTGCTTGACTAGGTGTGGATTCCAAACTGGTGCTGCATACTCCATATGGGCCTGACGTAGATGGTATACAGAGTCTTGAACGAATCCTTACTGAGGTATCGGAACGCTATCCGTAGGTTTGCCAGTCGCCCGTATGCTGCAGCAGTTATCTGATTGATGTGTGCCTCAGAGATATGCTCGGTGTTATACTCACCCCCAGATCTTTTTCCTTGAGTGAGGTTTGCAGACTTTGGCCATCTAAACTACATTGTGTCTGCGGTTTTCTTTGCCCTTCCCCAATCTTCATGACTTTGCATTTGGCGGGGTTAAACCCCAAGGGAGCCAGTTGCTAAAACCAGGCTTGTAGCCTGTACAGGTCTCTTTGTAGTCCTGCCTGATCCTCATCCGATTTGATTCTCTCATTAACTTCACATCATCCGCAAACAAGGACACTTCTGAGTCTATCCCCTTCCGTTATGTCATTCACATATACCAAGAACAGCACAGGTCCTAGGACCTGACCCCTGTGGAACCCCGCTGTCACAGGCGCCCACTCAAAACACCTCGTCACGTACCATGACTCGTTGTTGCCCCCCTGTCGGGTATTCTCTGATCCATTGCAGTGCCTTTATTGTTATGTGTGCCTGATCCTCTGGGCTTTGCAGTAACCCTTGTGAGGAACTGGTCGAAGGCCTTCTTGCAGTTCAAAAAAAATGCAGCGATCCACCCCTCTCTCTCTTGTCTTACTTCTGTCACCTTGCATAAAACTCAGTAGGCTGTGACACAGATTTTCCCTCCCTGAAACCATGTGGGTTGTCAATTATACACTTGTTTCTTTCCAGGTGCCCCACCATCTCCTCCTGATGATCTTCTCCATGACCTTGCATACTTTACACGTTAGAGATACAGGTCTGTAGTTTAGTGCCTCATGTCTGTCTCCCTTTTTAAAAATTGGGATTTACATTTGCCATCTTCCATACCTCAGGGAGTTGCCCCAGTTTCAAATGATGTGTCGAAGATCTTGTTAAGGGTACACACAATATCTCTGCTCCCTCTTTAAGGACCCACGGAGAGATGTTGTCCGGGTCCCACCGCCTTTTGAGGGGGCAAGTTCGCATAGCAGCTTCTTCACCTCCCCCTTTGGGTTTATATGTACCTCATCCAGCACTTGCTGGGGCACCCCTCTGCTCTGATTTCCTGGAGTCTACTGGTTTCCACTGTAAATACTTCTTAAATCTGGGTGTTAGCTCCTGACATACCTCCGGGGTCGTTTCTTGTAAATTTCCCCATCACCCTTCCTCAGTCTCATTACCTGGTCCATGACTGTTGTTTTCCTCCTGATGTGGCTGTACAACAGCTTCGGTCAGTCTTTACTTTCGATGCTATGCCCATTTCGTATTGCCGGTGAGCCCCCCTTTCTTATCTGTGCATATTCGTTTCTGGCTCTTCGGCTAATCTCTTTATTTTCCTGAGTTCTCTGTCTCTGTACCTTTTGCATTCTCAAAGTACACCTAGTTTTGCCTCCCTAAAACCTTTGGGTGAACCAAGGACTCGTCTGTTCTTCCCATTATTTCTGTTTCCCTTGGGGAAACAAACCTCTCCTCTGCCTCCTTGCATTTTGTGGCGACATAGTCCATCATTTCTTGAAACTGGTTTTCCTGTCAGTTCCCTCTCCCACTGAATGTCTTGAAAAAAGTTCCTCAAGCCTGAGTAGTGACCCCTTTTGTAGTTTGGTTTTCCCCACCCTATTCCTGTTGCTCTCTCCACTTGGAGCTCAGCTATGTAGTCAAAAGCACAGAACCACATGATCACTAGTCCCAGGGGCCTTTCATACATGATATCCTCGATGTCAGAACTACTCAAGGTGAATACAAGGTCCAGTCTTGCTGGTTCATCCTCTCCTCTCTCTCTGGTAGTGTCTCTAACATGTTGATGCATGGGGTTTTTCCCCGTACCACATCCATCATCTTGGCTCTCCATGTTCAGGACTCCCATGGGGCTCCGGGTTTTTCCCAGTCAATCTCCTTGTAATTGAAATCACCCATAACTAGTAACTTGCTCCCCCCATGTGTGTTTTCCTGGCCACCTCGCTAGTGTGTCGACCATTGCTCTGTTGCTCTCATCGCATTTTCTCTTGGCCTCCTGCAGTTCTGTGGTGGGTTGTACATTACTGCAATTATCACTATGTCCCTCAGACTGGATTGTCCCTACTAAGTAGTCCCTTTCGCCCGTGCCGTCCACTTCCTTCCATTTTTCTCAAACCCCCACTGGTTTTTAATGGGGGCAGTGCAACTCCTCCTCCCCCTCCCTCCCTCTGTTTTTTCCTGAGGATTTGATATCCGGAGGGAAAAGATTGAATCTGTTATTTTTTGGTGAGTTTTGTTTCTGTGGAGTGCTATTATGTTGGGATGTCTCCTTGATTCTTTCGTGCCACTCCTCATACTTTTTTGTTATTCCATCTGCATTTGTATACCACACCTTCAACTTCTTTCTAAGATTGTGGTCTGGGAGGCGTTTTTGGGGTTGGG